TCTTCATTTTCCATAAACTCATGCAAGAATGTAAAATTGGTTTCTTGTATTACAGTTTTTTTTCCCAAAGTTTTGCTCTGTACAATTCGTTACCCAAAGTAGGTCTGTGCACCTGAAAACCTGCTCTAAATAGGTTTGGATAGTGAGGAAGCAATGAGAGAGAGCTAGTAAGGATTTGCCTTCCTCCTGGTCCTGCCTAGGATGCCAGTACAATTTTGGGGGGGAGCCCTCCAGCCAGGAGATGCCATTGAAGGGGCTATAAGGACAGCAAAGGAAGTCTTGGCCATACAGGCTTTGCTGTGCGTGCAGATGTTTTGGATCATGTATCCTTGGCAGCACCATCGAGGGCTGTTGGATACACCCGGATCTCTGATAGTTTGGCCAAAGCATCCAGGGCACAGATGTGTCTGAGAAGGGCAAACATACAGAATCATGGAATGGTTTGGGTTGGAAGGGACTTTAAAGACCATCTAGCTCCACCCCCCTGCCATGGGCAGGGACACCTCCCACCAGACCAGGTTGCTCCAAGCCCCATCCAGCCTGGCCTTGAACACTTCCAGGGATGGGGCAGCCACAGCTTCTCTGGGCAACCTCTTCCAGTGCCTTGCAGTAAAGAATTTCTTCCTGCGATCTGATCTGAATGTCCCCTCTTTCAGTTTGAAGCTATTCCCCATCATCCTGTTGCTACATGCCCTTGTAAAAGGTCTCTCTCCGACTTTCCTGTAGACCCCCCTTCAGATACTGGAAGGTCACTACATGGACGAAAACGTATGCCTCAGGCAGAACAATGCCCGAGCATGCAGGGGTAGTCACTGGGATGGATGTGGCCCAGGTGTCACAAGACCTTTTCCTGGGATGTAAGTCTCTTCTCTGCTGCACATCTGAGGCTCAGCCAGGGGCTGGGAGCTGGGGGTTCAGGATTTAAGGCTGCAGCCTAGCAAAATGACCAAGGACTGGGTTGAAGCTGCGTTGGGGATGAAAGAGCAGGAGCCAAAACCAGGGCAAGCCAAGAGCTGTGGTCTCTGGTGGTATTTCCAACTGTTTGGTGGGGTTGGCTATCCCCTTACAGCAAGGTGAGTGTCACTTGCAGAAAGTGGAGAAAGGTAGAGAGGACAGGCTGCTGCCAGCACACCGTTTCTTCCCCAGCTGACTATTCTTTTCTGCCTTGCTTTTTCAAAGAAAGCATTATTTATTCCTTTTGTTGCCACCAAATGTTGGCAACCAAGGTAGGCTGGAAGTGACACTTCCCCGACAGCCTGCAGAAGCGTCGGGTGTTTAATTGGCTGCTTCACCCCAGGATAAATAAACCTTCAGAGCCTCATCCTCGAGTGTTTGATCAGAGAAGTTAAATGTTTAGGGGATTGGATTGCTTGATCTCTTTGCTTAGAAGTTTTCCTGCTTCTCCTTGACAAGCCAGACATGCTGAGAGTTGGCAGAAATCTCAGATGCTTGTGCAGAGGAGAGCTGCCATTGAAATGTGGTTTTTCCTGATACGTGTCTTACATGTATCATGATACAATGCTTTTTCATGATATATTGGTGGACAATAGAATGATCATGAGCCAGCGACATGTCCTTGTGGCCAAGAAGGCCAATGGCATCCTGGGGGGCATCAGGAAGAGTGGGACCATCAGGTGGAGGGAGGTCATCCTGCCCCTCTGCTCTGCCCTGGGGAGGCCCCATCTGGAGCACTGGGACCAGTTCTGAGCTCCCCAGTTTAAGAAGGACAGGGAACTGCTGGAGAGGGGACAGCAGAGGGCTACAAAGATGATGAGAATCCTAGAACATCTCTCTTATGAGGAGAGGCTGAGGGACTTGGATATTTTTAGTGTGGAGAAGAGAAGGCTGAGGGGGGATCTGATCAATGCTTATAAATACTTAAAAGGGAGGGTGTCAAGAGGATGGAGCTGGTCTTTTTTCAGTGGTGCCCAGGGACACGACAAGAGGAAATGGGCAGAAACTGGAATAGAAGAAGTTCCACCTCAACATGAGGAGGAACTTCTTTCCTGTGAGGGTGGCAGAGCCCTGGCAGAGGCTGCCCAGGGAAGTGGTGGAGTCTCCTTCTCTGGAGACATTCAAAGCCTGCCTGGACATGTTCCTGTGTAACCTGCTCTGGCTAGGGTAGGACTAGATGATCTCCAGAGGTCCCTTCCAACCCCATGTCATTCTGTGTCCTTGGTACAATGGCTGTGCTTCCTGCTTATGGAGAGAAGTAACCTCTCCATCAGGAGTCCTGGAAAACACAGCCAGGTTGTGCTCCAGCGAACTAGCAACTTGCAACCTGCCCACTCCTTGCTTTTCCCTCTCCCATCCCTGTTGGGTTCCACGTCCCCCATTTGCAGCAGAGAAGCTCCATCAGAAGGGATCTGATCACCTACAAGATGTTCCTCTTGTGTTGTTCAGGAAGGAAATTGGGTGACATCATACCCAGATGGACGCTATGGCAGAGGGCAGCTCCATGGAAGCTCAGGAGCATCAGCAGTGCAGCGAAGGAAAGGTCACTGCTTCTATGTTCTTCTTTATGTCTCCTGGCAGGAAAGTTTTCCCTGTAGCTGATGTTGTAATTGCCCCAGTGCAGGTGAGTGCAAACATGTTTTATGAGCGAATCAGAGAATGATATGGGGTTGGAAGGGATCTCTGGAGATCATCTAGTCCAATTTCCCCGCCAGAGGATAAATCTCAGGTCCACCTAGAGCAGGTTGCATGGTGACCCCCCAGCCAGCTCTATGTTGGATTTGGTAGACGTTCTTGGAGGCAGAAGTAGAGTATTGATTTCACGTTATTTAATTTTCATCCTAATAAAAGTGATGGGGTTTTGGATCACGGTATTGGACCGTGGACCATTTGAACCATGGTACAGGGTAGTCAGGGTGTCAGCAGAGGTAGGTTTGAAAGTGTTGTTCCTTTTAGGCCTCGGGGAGTTGTTTCCAAGAGCTTGTTTTGTTCTGAATGAAAATGAACAACTGAAATGAAAACACCGAAATGAAAAATATCTTCAAAATTTTAATTGCAAATAAATGATTTGTGATGATAAATGTTTCCTGTTTAATTAGATTTTAAAAAGAAAATTGTGTTGTCCTTCACAGTGCTGATTTCAGATGATCACGCACCTTAGGTGCCACTTTTGTTACAAATTTTTATCCCATAATTCATAACCTTTTTTACTTTGGGAAGAGCAGGAAGAGGCAGGAAGGAGTAAAACCGCTTTCAGCCAATTCTGGTTAATTAAGGCAGAGGAAGCAATAACCTCTGCTGCTAACGTTTTCAGGGAATGGCTGCTGTAATTGTTCGCTTCAGTTGTTGGGCTGGGATGTAACTTTTCAGCCTTTATACGTGCTGAGTATTGCAGAGGGGGAAAAAAAAAAACTCCTTTGAAAACGTTTCTAAGGAGGAGAGTTGGGGAAAGGTTGACTCTATTCAGAGACGCTGAATGTTATTCCATTCAAGGAAAGAAAAGCCCCATGGAGATGGCCAGGATTGGTCTCACAAGGTGACACCCTCACAGGCGTGGACGTGAGGTGGAGGGGATGCTCGTTTTAACGCCGTGCACCGATCTGGGGAGGGAATGTATGTGTGTGTGTGTGTGTGTGTTGAGAATTTTGCAATTCAGGTCTGGAGGGTACGGAGGCGTGTGTGTGTGTGTGTTGAGAATTTGCAATTCAGGTCTGGAGGGTACGGAGGCACCGCATGGCTATTACACTCCTGGATAAATAACTGGCTTCAGTCAGGAGATTTGGGAGGGAAAGCAAAGGCAATCTCCGGATTCAGCACTCTCTGACTATCAATGACGCTCACAAAATAGGAGAACTGTTAGTCAAAAGTCGGTCTTGGACGTTCACTCCTGAACAGTGGGCTACGGGCAGGGTGTGAGGCTGAATACAAATCAGCCAAAAGTCGGTCTTGGACCGGGCAGGGTGTGAGGCTGAATACAAATCAGGGCTCTGCTCCCCACGATGCCTTGGCTTTGCTGTCCTTCCCTCTTCCTTTAATTATTGCCTGAGCCAGCTTTAGCTCATGTAAAATTGTCCCCTACCGATGAACAGGGAATGAGATTTTGCCCTGCCTCTGGCGGGTGTGCAGCATTCATCCTTCTGAGGACTTTTTTTGTGCTTCATCTCTGCAAGCTTCATGCATCGATGCTTAAATTGTATTGGCACAAACCAGGACATTTTTTCACAGTGCAGAGCCCTTCAGGGCCACGTCCCACATTGCTGTGGGGAACCCGGAGTGTTGGGGTTAAATAAGGGCTTTATGTTTTTTGAGCAACAGTTCTGGCTTCCTGGGTGCCCCTGTGAAGGGACTGCCGTTGTCCTCCTAAAGGATGATTTTCTGTTCCTACTGTGGGGCTTCAAGGGGACTTAACTGCTTGAGGTCCTACCTTTCTAGTGGAAAAGCCAGTCTTCATCAATTTTGCAGCCACTGTAGCTGTTCCTTGAAGGCACACAGTGTAGAAGGGACCACAGACAAGCAGTGTGCCTTGTCTGTAAAGATCCGGGGGATCTTTATAACTTGGACCCCTTGGTTTTCTCTTGGTAATAACCAGCCTTTGTCATTTGTCTGCTGGCTTGGCACAGTCTGGCCCACAGAGTCCAGCAGAAGTCAGCCCTAAGGTGGTGCTAAGGGTATCCTCACCTGAAAGATATCTGGGTTTGAAAAAAGTGTTCATGTTCAGAGATAAAATTGAACAGCCCTAAGGAAAGAAAATCCTGCTTCTCTCTTTTTGCAGCGCCTGGCTTGGGATAAAGTAGTTCATATAACTTTCAGGTTATTTATCTCTTTCTATTATTCCCTTAAAAATATGAATACGAAATAAAAGTCTCCTTTCAAGAAGAAGAATGGAAGCATGTGCAAAAAGAAAAGGTGAAATGAAACATCTCAACTACTCTGAGCTACCCATTTCTATTGAACAAATTTCCTGCAATTTGTGATTCATGTCAGCACCTCGGAAGCTGCATTATTTCCAGCGAATTTATGGCGCCTCCTTTTTTTCCTTCCCAGATGAAATGAGCTATATCTTCCACTGCAAATTGTACCACCCAGCCTCCCACGAAGCAAGGCCACGGGTGTGCGTGCGGAGACCTTCCCCAGCTGAAGGAAGGGGTGAGTTGTTCTGCTCTTGCAGCTCTCCACGCAGCCCTGAGCTTCCCCCAACCCTCCTCCCACCCTCCCTTTTCACATTCCCTTGCCCCTCTCACGTCGCTTGTTGATGTCTATCCCCTGATGCACCCCCCTGTCCAGCCCTCTGGGCAAACTCGTCATTAAGGGACCCCTTTTCCTACCTCTTGTCTTTGGTTTTGTCCAGTAGAATGAGCATTATTTTCCCTTCTTTCCCACTTTCCTGGCATCCTGCAGTGGTAATACAGCTTGCCTTTCCAGCAGGTTATGACACTCTGGACAATGTTTAGTACGATGGGAAGCCTGTGATGCATGGACTTAGTAAAAGCTGTCTGGATTTTATGAGCAGAATTCATAAACTCATCAATCACAGCCCATAATTGCTTTATTAGGGGGAAATAAAGCAATTACTGCTATGACTTTCAAGAGTGTTCCTATACGGATTTACACTAGTAGTCCAACACAAAGGCCCCCAACGCTTTAAAACTGGTATTTTCTCTGCTTGAATTTGGAGTGATGTCTTATGAAATGATGTCTTGTAAAGTGATGTAGCTTCTAAACAGCACTGTGCCTCCCGCAGCAGGTAGCTGGAGGATCTGAGTCCTGATGGTGCAAACCCCTTTGACCGCAACTTGCTCACCAGCTCACAAGTTTGTAAACCTGCTGCAGACTCCTCACTTCTTAAATTACCCATGTGAGATGAAGCGTGTCCTGATGTGGTTTCAGCTACAGCAACAGTAAGTATTTCTTCTGATCAATGCTTATCAATACTTAAAGGGAGGGTGTCAAGAGAATGGGGCCAGTCTTTTTTCAGTGGTGCCCAGGGACAGGACAGGAGGAAATAGGCACAAACTTGAGTATAAGAAGTTCCACCTAAACATGAGGAGGAACTTCTTTCCTGTGAGGGTGGCAGAGCCCTGGCAGAGGCTGCCCAGGGAGGTGGTGGAGTCTCCTTCTCTGGAGACATTCAAACCCCACCTGGAGACGTTCCTGTGCAACCTGCTCTGGGTGGACCTGCTTTGGCAGGGGGTTGGACTAGATGATCTCCAGAGGTCCCTTCCAACCCCGTATCATTCTGTGAATCTGTGATTCTTCTTCCTGCACAGAGCAGTCGGCCCAAGCTCTTGTCCTGTAATGTTCACCCTCTAGGAACCTAACCATGGAAAGAGAGAGGAGCACAGACACAAATAAAACCAGGAAAAAACCTTTCTATCCAGGAGAGCAGTGAGGTTAGCATATTGCACAAGACCAGAGGATCATTCAGATTGGCAGGGACCTCTGGAGCTCTGTGGTCCAGAATGGGTCAACAGTGAACTCAGATTGGGGTGCTCTGGCCTTTTTCCTGTTGGGTCTTAAAATTCTCCATGGATGGAGATTTGACCAGCTTTCTGGACAACCCATTCCAGTGCTTGGCTATCCGTAGAATAAAGTCTTTTTCCTTAAATCCAGTTGGAACCTATCATTTCAACTTATTCCTGTTGCCTCCATGGATCAGCATGAAGTTGGGCTTTGCTCCTTGACAGCCATCGCTTCGCCAGGTTGAACAAACCCACCTCCTTCAGTGTCTCCTCACAGGGCAAGTGCTCCAGCCCCAGCCATCTTGATGGCTGAAGGAAAGTACAAATTCTGTGCTGTAAATTTGCTGCAGGCTTGGTTGGGGTTGAACTCCTTGACTTTCCTAGTGACACAGGTTTGCTTTGGCATATGCTCTTCCAGGTTTCCTACTATTTCCTCTCTAGATTACTGATCTCTGGACATATTGGCAATCTCTGTGTCTTTTCTGTGTCAATGATTCCAGTAAGATTTTTTGGGGGTGCAGGATGAGCGTTGATGGGAAGACATGGACAGCAACAAACTCCACCTTTTTGCTCTGGTCCTGCGGCTGAATTGATGCATGATTTTGGACAGCTGGACACAGGGTTGGCAAGTAATCCAACACCCCTTCATGTCCTTTTGTAGTATTATAACAGAGTGCACTATGCAACCAGGTACAGTCCCAGTGGGACGAGTCTGGGCCCTGGATTTTTTTTAAATTATTTTGGGAAGAAATTAGATTTCATATGGTGGAGAGTAGAGGCAGAAAGGTCTACTAAATTAGAGGTGAGGGCAAAGCTTACTCAGAATAACTCAACTTCCCGAGGCTCAGTGGTAAAGGAGAAAAAGATATCTCAATCTAAGAAAGAATTTTTTTACAGTAAGAACAATTATTCACTGGAACAACCTCCCCAGGGACGTGGTAGAGTCCCCACTGCTGGAGGTTTTCAAGCTGCAGATGGAGAGGGTGCTAGGTAATCTCATTTAGGCTGTTTTTCCCACGAGAGGTTCTTTTGAGATACCTTCCAACATGGAACGTTCTATGGTTGATTTCATGATTTATTTGGTGCTTTTAGATAATATGAGAGTTTTCTCAGAGGACGAAATATCAGGAAATGCCATCTCGTTATGGCATAATGAGATGCACTAATGCACTTATTCCTGCTTTACCTTAAAGATCAGGCAAGATCTTTTTTTTGGCTAATTCTTAAATACTATCAGAAGTGGACACAATTCTTAAACTCCCTTTAATTTAATCCTTCTGCAAATATTTAAACTTCCTGCAGCTCCCTTCTGAGCCCATCACCTGGTAAATCCAGCCGGAATTTTCTCCCCTCTGTAGGTCAATACTTAACAGTGTGCCAGCTCTTCATGAAAGATTTAAGAGCTGATTTGGGGAAAAAGAAAATCCCAGGATGAGTGCAAAACTTTGTGCACATGTGGACATAATGGCTGAAAGTCGTTATGCAACATAATTGATTTGTGGTAAGTACATTTGACAAATGCATTTTGAAAAGGGCTGGGACGGGGTGTCATTGCAGTTGTGTGCTTTGTGAACATGTCGGGGGGATGTCATTGCAGTTGTGTGCTTTGTGAACATGCAGCATGTGGGCATTCCCAATATCCACACTGGTGCCTCGCTTGCTCCCAAGAGCTGGCACTAAATACATCAACAGAAACAGAGCCAGACAGAACTGCTGCTAGCATATGCTGAGGATTTTTGAACACGCACAATTTAAAAATACAAATTATTTCTCAGAAGCGTTAGAAAACAGGAAAGGACGCTGGCTGTCTTACATTTATTTCTAAACTTTTCTCTGGGGAGAATGGCAATTTTTGCTTTTTCCCCCTCAAGATGGTACAGGAGGCAAAGGCTTCCTTTCCAGAATGATGAATTCCGGTGGGTGGTTGTGCAACGACACCGAGAATTCTGATTACCCTCTCCAGAAAAATTGCTTCGTTTCAAAGTGTAACTGGCGTTTCAGTATAACGCCAGTTCCAGGAACCCGTGCTCACTCCATGCTGGTTATAAGGAGTTATCCCCTGAGTCCCTCCTGCCTTTCTCCTGCACCCGAGTCAGGGGACTGATGGAAGCCAGGATGGTGGACTTCCTAATGCTTGGTTCTGATGCAACTCAAAGCCCCTGTGCCCCTTCTCAGCTATTCCTAAGCGCTTTTTTCCCTAAGTGTTCTCTTTGTAATCCACATTAGTGATTTACAGAATAATTTCTGGACTCTCCACACCTTCAGCAATCCTCAGGCACAGCATCCAAAGTGCAGAGATGGGCTTTGAAATCTCTATTCAGTTATCACAGATATGGTGGCTTTGGGTGGCCTTTCTTTCTGCCGTGCCTTTTTTTGCTCCAGATGCATTGGTTTGAGTGACATTCAAAAAATTAAGTCATCTTAAACTCAGATGTGTGTATCAATGACCTTGTAAATTGTAAAAAGTAACAAAAAACCCAACCAAAACTGTGAGATACTAGGCTTATGGGGAGAGATTTCCTCATACTGATCTCAAAGACCTACAAGATCCAGAGAAAGAATTAGTAAAGCATCTCATTTCTTAAAGAAGTGGGGCCAGACTTGACTGTGAATTGTCTATAGCTTATCCAGAGGATCCAGTGGAAAACTGAGCTTGGAGGAAAGCTGGGTGGGGAGATTCCTCCTGCTTGAAGGCTGGAGCAGCAAGACACATGGCAAGTGTTTGGCCTCTTTGCACTGAGGTCCCAAGTTGGTGGGAGTTTATTAGCAACAAAAGCAATGTCCATATGTGGGTTTCCACCCCAATACTTAACAGCTCTTTCAGCCGGCAGAAGCTGAGCTAGGGTTTGGGAAGTCAATGTCTTGGTGCCTCACGGAGCTGATCCTGAATGTCTACAGCTTTATCTCCTAGGACAGCTGCCACTTTCTTTGTGTTTTGCCACCCAGTTTGCAATTCAGAATTGTTCCTCTAGAGTCTTGGATTCCTCATTTACAGCCCTGGCTTACCTGATGCCAGAGGGAGACCATAAGAAACAAAAAAGGAAGGCATCAGGCTTTAAGAGAGTCACAACCAGCCAGTCCTTTGCGTGCGTATAAGCTGACTGACCCAAACTTTGCTCAAGTCTCTGGCATCCTCCCATACTTCTCACACTTTCTGCCAGTAGACACCAAAGAGGAGACCATACTCCTGCTGGCTGCTTGTTTCTCAGCAGCAACAAGGTCTAATTTTAGACATGAATGCCAAACTTCCAAAAATATTTTGAGAGACATTTAAGTGTGGCTGGGGGTGACCTTAGGAAACCCATCTCAGCTGCTGCGTGAGAGAGGTCTCCATGGCTTCTCCCCACAGGTGGTGCAGATGTGTGACACGGGTCTCCAGCTGGAGTAAACCACCGATGAAATGAGAGTCTGCATCTCAGTATCTCCATGTTTGGCCTGAAGGCTGGGGCATGTTGGGCACCACAGCCTTTTCTAAGAGAGCCTGTGGGCTCAGGAGGAAGGTTATAGGGTGAGGTGTCTCAGCCTGTGCCGTGCAAGGGATTGGACTGCGGTGACATGGTCTAACTCTGTGCTCTGTCTTATGCAGTACAAACACAGATACAGCTTTTCTCCTGCTCTTTCAGTCTCAGGGACCCTTCTGCTGCTCATCTCAGTAGGGCTGCCCTGAGCAGCAGAATTACCAGCAAACTTGGCTGCCTCGCTGCCCGTGTCCTCTCAAAGCCGCTTCTGCATACACTGCCCACCCCTGCTCTGAGCTGACATACCTCTACTCTGTCCTCACTCAGCTGTGATTCTCTTTTTTTTTCCTCCACCTTACTGAAAAAACAGTGCCCTGGCGTCTCGCCACGCAACAGCTTCCCACGAGAAGCTTCTGTGGGCGAGAGCACCCCTACCCATCCATCATCCTCTGGATGGGAGGCAGGAGGGATGCTTAGGAGCTAGCCAGAGGTGCTGCAGCTCTGATTTACAGATTGGAAGGGCTATTCATCATCCTGGATGGGGAGGCTGTCTGGTCTGGTGCTACGGGGTAGGAAAGCAGGTCATCTACAGTTCTTGGGGACATGTTCCTCCCCGCCTTTGGCTACAGTGTGTTCCCCAGACAGGCTGAAGAGCTGCTCTGTGGAGAGGCAGGCTTAGATGTATGTTAGGAAAAGCTGCCTATCTCCACACCGAGAGGGGAAAAAGTGAACACACTCTTTGAAGGGAAAGTGTGAATTGTAAGATTTATCCCCAGACTACCGATTTGCCCCTCCTTTCTCCCAACTATAATGCAGCTGTCTCCAATGAGGCAGGGGTCATATTTTCCTACCTAAATTGCCCAGAGGCTTTGCTGGAATCTGATGAGTTTTCCAGTGTTGTTAAAGACCCAAGGAGCTCTTTCTGATAATTGAACCTGACCTGCCACGTCATGAGTCCTGACAACACCCAAGCTGTGATTATGGCAAGTAGGAGTTTGTCTCTGGGCCGGGGTTCCCCGTTCTGCCACTGACTTTTGGTGTGCTCCTGGTCACATCACTTCATCTCCCTGCAGCAAGTTTGCCCATCTCTAAACAATGATGACTCTTCCTAAAACATTCCCAGTTCAACGCCTTCTTTGCCTGCAGAGTCTTGGGAGCAGGAAACATCTCTCATAGCTTCACGACAAATAGAAGCTGCTCCAGGCTCTGAAGTAATACACACAGTTGCTAACTGTAAATTTTCAGCTTTCCTTCATTTAAAGTAAATCCCCAGCAACACAGTTTGTTTGAGGATTTTTATATATATAGATAATGTTCTTTTGCAATGCATATATATTATTCTTTTTAATAGATCATAGCAGCCTTACAAATTTACGTGGTCACTGGGGACCGCGTTCGCCCAGAGAAATACCACTTCTCTGTTTGACTTGAACAGCAAGAAGGTGGCGATTTCTTACCGGGAGGTCTGTGGAGCTGGCAATAATTCCTGCCTGTCACAGGAGCTTTTCACATAACTTTCTTGCCTGCCAGCTTGTGTTGCTCAAAAATGTCTGGTTTGCCTTAACCACAGAACTAGTTAATTTTGGGTTTGTTTGGGTTTGGTTTTTTTCGGGGGGGAATGGAAACTTTCATTATGAAAATTGTCCAGAAATGGACAACGTTGATAAAATTAAATTTTTTAATTTTATTTTTTTTGTGGCAGGATAAGGAAATACAACTATTTGTTTAAACTCCCGGAGCGGCACATGGGACCTGTCATTTGGAGAAAGCACCTCGTTTCCCACGTAGGTCAGACTCCCTGGTTTTTATTCTTTCTAATGGGAAAAGATTGGCAAAAATGTGTCTTTCGTAGTTTTAACACAGGTCTCCCCCCCCACAGAAAAACAAAACCAAACCTCTTCAACAGAACAGAGCAAATAACAGCATTTCTTCAGAAAGCAGATCTTGGCAAAAGCCCCAAACCATTTACTAAGAAATTCAAGCCTTGAAAGGCAGTCTAGATGAAAAAAGCACCAACAACCCAGCTAATTTACTCTCTGAAAGTTTTGTGTGCATTTGCTGAAACTTTAGGAGTAAAGGCTCTCAAGAGAGGCAATTCTGGGGGAAAAGAAAAAAAAAAAGCTGTTTCTGGGTGAGTATTGAGAAATACTGTGCAATCTGCTCAAACGACTGCGTTTCAGAACTATCAAATATTTGTATCAAATCAATTATGAACAATGTATAGATCCCGGCTTATTTCCCACGTTATTTCGCTTCATTTGAAGCAAGAAATAAGTTTATGAAAAGGATGATCAATCAGTGCATCGCTGGGGAAGAGGTCAAGCAACAAAACCTCACTCACTGCATTATGCCCGTGGAACAAATTGCACAAACAATCTAGAAGGTTGTATAAAAGAGGAGCTGATTTCACCCTGGGGGCAACTGAAGCACCTCATGCACTTGTATGAGGAAGGCATGTATTGAAAATTGGAAATGCTAAAGAAAAAAAAAGATAGGCGGGAGGGGAGGATTTGCTTCTCTGTATTGTATTGGCATCTTTCCTATAATTTGAAAACCCATCCCCAGGCAGCAATGCAATTTAACCTTCACCAGAAAACCAGTAAGTACAGGTACCGAAAGGAAAAAATAAGCGTCCTGGCTTTGTTTCAAAGTCTGTGATTTTTGCAAGCGGTGGTTCTTGCACCCTTCATAAATGACAATTGCCCTGTACTCAGAAATGGGAAAAACGGAGGAGGTGACCCTGCCTCTGGGACCTGAGGTCCCTGCCCTTTGCATGAATTGGGACTATTGCTGCAGCAGACTTACCTTCCCACTCTTCCCCGGGTCTGAAAAAACAAAGGGTCTCCCCAAAGATGGTGAATGTGCTCCCGATGGCTTGTGCTGTGGTGAGGTGGTCCGAGTTGGTCTAGTTTCCTTTTATCACTAGGCTCAAAACACTCTTTAAACGTGTCAAGTCAGGAGGCTGGAAGGCAGGAGCAGTTCCCAGAGGTCTTAGTGGAGAAAATTTTAAATGTATTCAGCTGCCATCTTTGCCCCAGTTGGAAGAAGAGTTTCTTGGCACTGGAACAGGTTGCCCAGGGAGGTGGTTGAGGCCCCATCCCTGGAGATATTAAAGGTGAGGCTCCACGAGGCCCTGGGCAACCTGGTCTAGTTGGGGGTGTCCCTGCTGACTGTGGGGAGGTCAGACTAGATGACTTTGAAGGTCCCTTCTGGCCTGGACCATTCTATGATTCTATGATTATACCAATCTTCAGGTTGGCTTGGAAGCTTGGACTTGGTTTCACCAAAGGATGGACTAGATGACCTTGAAGGTCCCTTCCAACCCAGATGATTCTATGATTCTATGATTCTTCCTTGGATATCATCATGGGAGAATGATTTACTGTCCGAGACACTCTGTAGGTGTAGGCAGGATTTAGAATCATAGAATGGTTTGGGTTGGAAGGGACCTCAAAGATCATCGAGTTCCAACCCCCCTGCCCTGGGCAGGGACACCTCCCACCAGACCAGGTTGCTCCAAGCCCCATCCAGCCTGGCCTTGAACCCCTCCAGGGATGGGGCAGCCACAACTTCCCTGGGGAAGATTTATTTACTGAAGGAGAAAAGGATGAGAGAGAGAAAAGGATGCTAGAGAGAAGAGGGGAGAGGTGAAGGTCTGGGTGGGATGTGACTTGTGGCTTTCCCTCCTCTTGCAGTACTTTGTGGAGATACCAGACTGGTCACTGTTTGCTGCCGTCCTCCACTGGATAAGCAGCCCTGCAGCTTAATGAAGGGCATTAATTAAGTGCTACAGGGTAAAGGCAATCGTCACCGTTAGGCAAGGCACGACCCCAAATGTCTGATGTGAAGAGGGAATGGTGGGGGATGGAGAGCTCACCGTCACCCTGGACTGTCACCGGAGCAGGGACCCGCTGTCTGGGGCTGCCCCCTGCGGCGTCGGGCAGATGGAAATGAGGAGTGAATGAATGTTGCTGTTGAATCTAAGGGCTCCCTGCTTTGATGAGGAGAACTACACCCCAGGGGGGACAGGGAAGAGATTTATGCCCTGGCAAAGTAGGCAGGAGGGAAATAATTCTGCCAGGCACAGATCGCTTTGCCCATCTATTACTACTGCTGCGAGACGCCTGGAAATATTGATTCCCCCAGAAGAAATTGAGGTGTCCCTGAATGGAGCAAGACTCCTCTCTACTACTAGGGCTCTTTTAGCAGCAGGCAGAATTGCTTCCTTTGCAGCAATTATTTTCTCAGGTTATTTTCCACCAAATCCCTGAGGCCACACTAACATGTCTTTTTATGCTCAGCTAAGCAGCTGATTGATTCTTCCTGGAGCTTTTCCTATATCGACACCAGCAGGGGACTGAGCAGCACCCAATAACACAGAGAAAGTCAATTAACTATATGAGACATTTACTTGCCTATAGCCAGAAAAAATCCCTTTCCCAGATACTTTGCCTGGAACCCCATCATTATGACAGCAAGAAGATGGTGCTTCGTTGCCTCTAAATTAGGAGCCCTGAAAGAGGAGAGGATGGAGATCCTGGATCTAGGATGTCTTCTTCAGTGCTACATAGAATCATAGAATCATCTGGGTTGGAAGGGACCTTCAAGGTCATCTAGTCCAACCCCCCCCCGCAGTCAGCAGGGACACCCCCAACTAGACCAGGTTGCCCAGGGCCTCGTGGAGCCTCACCTTGAATATCTCCAGGGAAGGGGCCTCAACCACCTCCCTGGGCAACCTGTTCCAGTGCTCCACCACCCTCAAAGAACTTATTCCTCTCCCCAACCTTCTTGTAGGTGCCCTTCAGATGCCTTCAGCATCTCTTGTTCCTCCGTGCTGCTCTGGACAGCCAAAGAAAAAGATGTCCATCGTCCCTTGGCTGTTAATGGGATGGCTTTGGGAGCACTCATTTCACCGTGACAAGATGTTCATAAGTTAGAAAAAGTCTCCTGATCTGTTGCAGCATTTGTGGACATAGTCAGCACTCATGCACATGCCGCTGTGTTTGTGGAGCAATGCACAGTTATGAAAGCAGATGCTTCTTTAAAATAATAATAAGGCTTCAATCAGGCAGTCAAAGGAGAAGTGACTTGACAGTGCTACTGAACAGCCTTTAGGAATACACAGGTTTTTTAAAAAAAAATGTTCTTCACGCGACACAGCAGAGCAACCCTGCCTTTGGCCCAGACAGCAGACTTAATGACCTTCAGTGGGATTTTCAGAAGTGCCTCAGGTTTGCTAGAAGGACATTTCTTATCCTTAATTACTTGTGCTCCTAAATTATTTAGGTGTCTTTGACAATATCACCACTAATCCTAATGAAGTTGAAGGCAGGCTCTTTAATAAGCATAATGTTGCAGTCTGCACCATTTGTGTCCCTGGTAGAACTTGTGCTGCTCAGCTGATGGGAGCTGATTCAATCTGTGTATCTCACCTACCCAGAGATAAGCATCCTGAATGCTCCTGTTTTTCCTTCCGTCAAAAAATAAGAGACCTATTTGGTGAACACCCATCGATGAAGGATGTAAATTGTGGACCTGGACACACAGGTAATTCTTACAGCAAATCCCACTGGTTTGGCAATACTTTGGACCAACATGATGTGGGGGCAATATTTATCAGCAGATGCCCTGGGGCTGTGGGTGTAACATCTCAGTACACATCCCTTGAGGCACAGTATTGTCCCTTCAGCTCCAGCCAATACCAGCGTTTATTCACAGTAAACTTGGGGGCAAATTTCTGGAAAAGGAGAAAAAGTAAAATTTTCCATTCAAGCACAAGAGAAAATGAGGTGTGCTCTGAAGAGTGGAATGTGCACACTTTTTGGTGGTACTTCTGCCTCTTAGGTCTGAGCAGAGACCTCTCCAGGGAAAAGCAGTATGTGCTCCACCAACCCCTCCGGCAAGATATTGACTCTGCAACCTAGGTTTTGCTGTGCCTGCTAAAACCATCCAGTGGGGTTGACTGTAACATCACACGGATCTTCTACTGTTCTTGAATGAGAAGCTGAGCCCTCCCTGCCCCCTCTTTACTAAGTTAATCCAAAAAAATCCTCACAGGAATCTGTGCGATCCTCTCCTAAATGATCCCATGCTTTTTCAAGAACAGAGACCCGCCCGCTCTGTGTACAGGAGGAATGGAGCAGATACCAAGCTGCTTTCTGCCAGCATTTCCAGAGTACAGCATCTCATAGTGAATTCCAGCTGTACCAATATCAGAAGCTCTCCAGAGAGCAGAAATTTTGCCTTTTTTTTTTGGAAATCAAATGCTTTTATGAAAACCTGGTGGTTGAGCAAAGAGAGCAGAAATCTTGCTGCTGAGGGACAGCTGTTGGAGCCTGGAGGTGCTGATTGAGTCCTTGCCAGTCACTCCCAGGCACCATCTGGTGGTCACACTTCTCTCAAAATACCTTTTTCCCTGGAATCTGGTTCTTTAGGAGCACTAGTGAGCAAGAAGTATAACTCTACGCTTGGGGAGTGTAGCAACAGCATGAGGGGCAATGGTTTTAAACTGAAAGAGGGGAGATGGAGATGAGATACCAGAAAGAAATTCTTTGCTGTGAGGGTGGTGAGGCACTGGAAGAGGTTGCCCAGAGAAGCTGTGGCTGCCCCATCCCTGGAGGGGTTCAAGGCCAGGCTGGATGGGGCTCTGAGCAACCTGGGCTGGTGGGAGGTGTCCCTGCCCAGGGCAGGGGGGTTGGAACTCCATGATCTTTAAGGTCCCTTCTAACCCAAACCATTCTGTGATTCTGTGGTTCCAATTCAGCCCCCCTGCAAGGCATGAGCAGCTCTGCCAGGGGTGGAATGGGTGAGCTTGAAGTGATGTGGGAGGTGGGAGACACAGATGGAGGGATCTCAAATACGTGTTTGCGCAATGAAAGAAAGCTGAGCAAAGGAGAGGGGACATTAGCAAGAGAGCTACGGTAGCAGGAAGAGTGGAAAGCAGGGTAATCTCGTTAAATTAATTAATGTTCTCCCATTTGCAATAGGAGGGGTAATACATCAGGTATGTATGTTTTCTGGGGGGTTGGGAGGGCTTGCTTCAGAGGTCATCTTGCTTTAGAGCAGTGTCTCTGCCGTAAGGGAAATGCCTGAGTGTTCCCAGGGACAGTGTGGCTGCAGAGATGGACAGAGGCTGGAAGAGGTTGCCCAGAGAAGCTGTGGCTGCCCCATCCCTGGAGGGGTTCAAGGCCAGGCTGGATGGGGCTCTGAGCAACCTGGGCTGGTGGGAGGTGTCCCTGCCCAGGGCAGGGGGGTTGGAACTCCATGATCTTTAAGGTCCCTTCTAACCCAAACCATTCTGTGATTCTGTGGTTCCAATTCAGCCCCCCTGCAAGGCATGAGCAGCTCTGCCAGGGGTGGAATGGGTGAGCTTGAAGTGATGTGGGAGACACAGATGGAGGGATTTCAAATACGTGTTTGCGCAATGAAAGAAAGCGTGGGAGACACAGATGGAGGGATCTCAAATACGTGTTTGCGCAATGAAAGAAAGCTGAGCAAAGGAGAGGGGACATTAGCAAGAGAGCTACGGTAGCAGGAAGAGTGGAAAGCAGGGTAATCTCTTTAAATTAATTAATGTTCTCCCATTTGCAATAGGAGGGGTAATACATCAGGTATGTATGTTTTTTGGGGGTTTGTGAGGGCTTGCTTCAGAGGTCATCTTGCTTTAGAGCAGTGTCTCTGCCGTAAGGGAAATGCCTGAGTGTTCCCAGGGACAGTGTGGCTGCAGAGATGGACAGAGGTACTGAAGGGGCTGGACTCCAAACGTGGAATGCTATGTTCCTCTGCACCATGCATGGTCATACTGTGGGACATCTTGCTGCTTTGTGTACTAGCCAACAGCTGTGGGTTCAAAAAGTGAAGAGGAGGAGAGGGAAAGGAGAGGAGAGGTTAATCATGAGCTATTAAACATAAAGATGCTTTCCTCCAGGAGCCGAAGTTGCTAGTAGTCAGGAGAGTGGCTTGGGGGCAGGCAGCCTGGCTGTGTTTGTGCTGATCTTCTAATCTTCCTAAGACTTCTGAAGGTTATTGAGCTAGCTCATTCTTCAGTGGCTTCTTTTGCTCTTGTTAGGGTTATGTAGTGCATGAAATGGCAAGCTTTCCCTACCCTGTTCAGCTTTGGGTTGGAAGCGGTATGTCTTCACAGAATGTTTTTTTTTGTCTTATTTAAGAAAGTTTATGTATTTATGTACTTTGCTGGGGCTGACCTAACAAGTGTGCTGGCCACAGAGGTTGGGGTCTCTACACTCTACTTTGGGGTGCTGTATAGACATGCCTTTCTGATCATCTGTCCTGCTTCCCATCTGGAAGGTCCTGTTAGTTCTTCATGATGGTTTGCAAAGGGGAGTGACTGCACTGGGGAACCTTCCACTGTGTTATCTCAACAGGCTGCACCCTAGCTTGAGGGTCTCTCAGACTTCTAAAACTGGGGTCGAAGAGTATCGGTGGGATACAAGAGGTATCTGAAGGGGAGCCAGAACAAATTTTCCTGTTGCCACTTAAAATTCTAGACGCTTTCCTGCTGATGCTTCTGTCCATCATTGAAGTGGAACAGGATCAGAGAACCATAAAGTATAAATTTATTATATTGTTTTTTTCCTTTCCCCCCTTGTTTTTTGTCCTATATATAGGCGTGACCTGTAATGGAGAAGCTATCATGTACCTGCTTTGGCTCCCAGTGGAAGATGAGGATAGGTTTCTTCCAATTATATGGTCTCTGTTTGGATTGCTCCTTGCTAAGATGACCTTGCATCAGTCCAGTCAGCAGGAAATTCCTTGTTCCTTCCCCAAGGTATCCATTTAGAGACCTGGACGTCAGGTAGGTGTGTATGACCTTAATGAAAGTGTGATCAGGCTGGGATGCCTCTGTCTTCCAAGGACAGAACTCAGGTCTAGTGTTTTATTTAGTTTAGCTTCCTATGAAATGCGGGCTAGCTCATGGTGGGGGTGTGTGTATGCTTGCAGAGCTCTGCCTCTCAGCCCTGCAACTCTGAGCCTCATTTCGGCAGAATTTGACAAAATAGTGGGGAGTTTCAAGGTGTCAGAGTAAAGAAAATCAACCCTGCTAATGTTATCTGAATGAAAAGACACGACACGTGACTGGGGAATAGAGAAACTGCACAAGTGAGAGTTGTTACAGAAGCATCCCTGGGAAGGAACTTCCAAACCGGAGCTGTTAATCCTCCGTGGTGGATTGTCCCACACAGCTTTTCCGACGTCTGTAGAAACAACACAGAGAGCTGGTGGAGGCAAGGTGGCTGGTGCCCATGCTGCCCTCCGTCAGTAGCTAGCAAGTCCTCAGCCTTTTTTGTGGAATACCCTTTCAGGGTACATCAGTTGTGTATCGGCCCATCAATACTAGACGTGACTAAGCCGCATCACTAAACTTTTTAGGATCTACAGGTAGGGATAGTAATGTTAGGTGCCTGAAACCGTCCTCATATCTCGTCACCTGATGATGGTGTCTCTTCAGGTTGTCATCTGTCTTATAGCTTCTTCCACTGGCACTCTCTAGCCCAGTATGCCTCCATGATCCATGGAAGGAGATGCTCTATGTGGCAGCGTGGTTCATCTGCCCAGTTTCAGCTCCTCATGAGTAAGCTTAGTGGTACTGTAGCAGTGCCAAGAAACAATGCCTGCATGGAGCAGTTGCTTTCCAGGTGTAGATACCACTGGTGATGTTGGTTGGTCCCTGAGAAGTTTCTTGGAGTCCTTTGTGCTTAGTTGTAGCTTGCTCCAGGTGTGTGTCATGCCCTCTGCTGGAAGCAGAATCTGCCTTTGTTGGAGAGGATGAGACGAGGAGAGAGATGGAGCAGCGATAATTAAGGACCAGTGGGAATGGTGCACATGGAGATCAATTGGTGGCTTGATTACAGCGTATTATTACATCTAGAAGAGAAAATGTCAGCTGCTAAGAGAATATTAAATCCAGCTGAGAAAGATGTGATAATATTTTTGGGGTTTTCTCCATCTGTTAAAGTTAATTTCATATATTCACTGATTTTAAAGCACCTATTAGTAGTCTGTTCCAACGCTGGACTTGGCCCCGCAGCACATGACTCAGCAGGTACCAGCTAGAAAGTAAAATATGGCTAATGGGCAGGGAAGAGGATTGAACAATGTTTCCATTGCTAGATGTTTCTCAGATAGAAAAACATCAGGAGTGGACCTAGAGTGGGCAAAGGTGGGCCACTCGCTTCACCTGATGCGTTCATGGGCTGATGTCCATGGTTGTCCATCTATGTCCGCTCTACTCCCAGCAGTCACAGGTGGATTCAAAAACAACAGGTGTGAAGGTGAGGACTAAGCATGCCTAAAACTCCTGCAGAGAAATGTCAGATCTAATAGGTTATGTGTTCTCTGTGTGTGATTATTTGCCACTCTCAAACTGCTGGTGGAGTGATTTTGGAGAACAACTCTATTGATGCCACTGCGCTGCTGGTCGAATTAAAACTTACTGACAAGACATTTTTCTTCCTCCCCGCCAAGAAAAAAAGGCCATGTCTTGTCCCCATTACTCCCAGTACCTGTTTTTCAAATTTAGCAGCATCACTTGATTTATTGAAAGCCAAGTTATTTCATTTCTCCCACTTCTTCGGCGGGCGCATGATGGCTATTGACTATGGGCCATCAATCACGTTTTAAAAAGAGCCGTCAGCGTTAGGCAGAAGAAAGAATGATTTGAGGATCTCCAGCAAAAGCTGAAAAGTGCCACTAATGGAAGGGCAAGTGAAATCTTGTCCTAATGAAAGCCTCAAGTTGTAACTAGGGGCCGTGTGCTCTCAGAATGCCTTATCCTGCCATTGTTCTGATTGTCCCCAGCTAAAAGATGATGATATATCTCAGACTCACAATGCAATTTAATTGGCGTCCAGATGGTTTTGTGAACAGCGTCGTAGAGGCTGCATTCGAATAAGCGTTTCCCTCTTGCCTGCAAGTGTTTCAGATAAAGCATAAATGCAGCGCATAAAAATGTCGCTGGCTTCCCATCACCCGTGACATGTAAACTCATGAATTAAGTGTTCAACGGAGGTCTGAACCACCCAAGGGAGCAAAACACTGCTCCTCTGAGATGTGGTTATTATTCGGGTGTTTAAAAGCTATCTAATAATTCCCCCATTTTATTTTTAGCAGTGATTTTCATCAAGAAAAGCAGCCAGCACGGGGACAAGAGATAGAATCTCGCCTCTGGCTAAAATGGAAAAAAAACTGCTTAGGAAACCTAGGATTTGAAAGCGGCTTTCTGGGAGAGAGGGTTGAAGGAGGATGGAGCTGGACTCTTTCCAGTGGTTCCCAGTGACAGGACGAGGGGCAACGGGCACAAGCTGGACCATGGGAAGTTCCACTCCAATCTGAGGAAGAACTTCTTTGGGGTGAGGGTGGCAGAGCCCTGGCAGAGGCTGCCCAGGGAGGGTGTGGAGTCCCCTTCTCTGGAGATCTTCAAGGCCCACCTGGATGCCGTCCTGAGTGATGTGCTCTGGGCAGCCCTGCTTTGGCAGGGGACTTGGAATGGAGGATCTCTAGATGGTCCCTTCCAAATCCAACAATTCCATGATTATTCCAAGACTTCATATTTTCTAGCATAAATTAAGCCCTTAAGAAGATTATTCCAAGACTTCCTATTTTCTAGCATAAATTAAGCCCTTAAGAAGTAATTTGGAAGAGGGTCTCTTCAAGCATTGCAGGCAGTCTGGTGTGGTCATTATTTGTTGATATTAATTTTGCTGTAAAGGACTGAGTACAGGTGAGTTTCAGATGGACGTGACTTCCCCCAGTGCATTTGGCAAACTGAAAAGTGCCCCCAAAAATGAAACAATTTTTAGCAAAGTAAAACACTTCACCCAGACCAGAAGAGAATATTCTGTGCCATAAGCACAACACATTGAAATAAAAGCTAGAAGATAATCAAAGGAGCTTCGAAAAAAGTTCAAGGGAAATGACTGAAATGTTTAATCATATAAAAGCCCTTTTTAAAAATCACAATTCCATTTTCTGTCAAAAAGGTTTGGGATCAGAAATGCTGCTGTAAGCGTTGACACCACTGGACTTTGAGCAGGGCATCGGGGAGTCTGATTTGGGCTCCTCCTAAGGATGAGATCAGTCTGCAATGACTGGCAGAAAGACCTATTTTTGAGTGGGTTCAGCAGGAGCAGACCGAGGCATCACTGGCCATGGTGGTCGATGCGGTGACCCACTGCAGAAACCTAGATCCGCACTTTCAGGTTTTGGCAGAGCTCCTGAGAGTCCCTCACAGTCCTTGGGGGTGCTGGATTAGCACTGCACCACGAGTTCTGGGGGCCAGATCTGACATCTGCTACAGGAACCAGCTCTCTAAATCTCCCGAGGCCTCCCCTGACTTTAAGAAAGGCCATAAGCCTTCTTCTGATATGTAGCCGCTTCATTAGGGAGATGTGCCAAATTATACAGAGAGCTACCACATCAAATTCCTCTCTGGAAATGAATCTGTGTCTTGTAAAAGTTGTCCAGCAACCCTGATTTCGTTCCTTTCAATTCTGCAGTTGAAATGCAGCAGAGAAGCGCATAAGAGCAAGGGTGAGATCAAAAACCAGCTGTTAAATGCTGAAGAGAGACTTTGAGTATCAGAACTGTGTTTTTGGCAATTGAAATTATTTTATTATAATATTTCATTATTATAATAAATATTATCTTATGCTATTTCTAAAAACAACATAAGTTACCTGTCTTCTGGGATTTGTTGGAGAGAGGGCTGTGGGAAAAAAGTCCCATAGATTATTGGAGGGATCCTAGAGCAGAGGAACAAGGAAATGAATGTCAGGACTTGAAGGAATAAAAGATTGACTTGGGTTGCGGCCAGGCGAGGATCTTTCTGCTTTAGCGTTCCTGAAAAACTGGAGCTTTGGGAGGTTGTTTTTTCAAGTGGAGACAATTAAATGACAACCTGCAGTGGTTAAGAGGTTTAGAAATGAAGAGGGACCCTGTCCCTCTGATGGTGGCACCTGGGTGAAAAAAGGCCGCCCAGCGGAGATGCCACCAGGGCTTCACCAGGCTCTCAGATGCAAGATGCCCATTGGGTATGCTTTGGGTTCAGTTGAGGATGGTCTCCCCTGCTTTGTAGGACAACTGCTGGAGGCACTGGTGTGCTCCTTTGAGGGCTGTGGTGCCGAAGAGGCAGGGAGCTGGACCACAAGACCTGTAGGAGCGTGCCTGTTCGCATCAGGAGCGCAGAGCTACCTGATTTTGCATCTTCACCACAAACCCCACCGCGGCTCTGTCTAACAGCAGTGTTCTCACCCATTGTTTTTTCCATCAGCCTTCACTTATTCTGCCAGCAGTAGATGAATGCACGCGGTCTTGTCTGGTACACTCCGCAGGGCTCTGCCCAGTAGCTCGTTAAATTGAGTTCAGCGGTCTGCTACTTCCCCCAACGTGCTGTGGATCTGAAAAATACCAGTGTGAGAGACCTTCTGCTGCCCCAGCGCTGGCTCAGCTGAGCCTCGATATGAGAGGTGAGGATAAGTAATTTGGAAGAGGGTCTCTTCAAGCATTGCAGGCAGTCTGGTGTGGTCATTATTTGTTGATATTAATTTTGCTGTAAAGGACTGAGTACAGGTGAGTTTCAGATGGACGTGACTTCCCCCAGTGCATTTGGCAAACTGAAAAGTGCCCCCAAAAATGAAACAATTTTTAGCAAAGTAAAACACTTCACCCAGACCAGAAGAGAATATTCTGTGCCATAAGCACAACACATTGAAATAAAAGCTAGAAGATAATCAAAGGAGCTTCGAAAAAAGTTCAAGGGAAATGACTGAAATGTTTAATCATATAAAAGCCCTTTTTAAAAATCACAATTCCATTTTCTGTCAAAAAGGTTTGGGATCAGAAATGCTGCTGTAAGCGTTGACACCACTGGACTTTGAGCAGGGCATCGGGGAGTCTGATTTGGGCTCCTCCTAAGGATGAGATCAGTCTGCAATGACTGGCAGAAAGACCTATTTTTGAATGGGTTCAGCAGGAGCAGACCGAGGCATCACTGGCCATGGTGGTCGATGCGGTGACCCACTGCAGAAACCTAGATCCGCACTTTCAGGTTTTGGCAGAGCTCCTGAGAGTCCCTCACAGTCCTTGGGGGTGCTGGATTAGCACTGCACCACGAGTTCTGGGGGCCAGATCTGACATCTGCTACAGGAACCAGCTCTCTAAATCTCCCGAGGCCTCCCCTGACTTTAAGAAAGGCCATAAGCCTTCTTCTGATATGTAGCCGCTTCATTAGGGAGATGTGCCAAATTATACAGAGAGCTACCACATCAAATTCCTCTCTGGAAATGAATCTGTGTCTTGTAAAAGTTGTCCAGCAACCCTGATTTCGTTCCTTTCAATTCTGCAGTTGAAATGCAGCAGAGAAGCGCATAAGAGCAAGGGTGAGATCAAAAACCAGCTGTTAAATGCTGAAGAGAGACTTTGAGTATCAGAACTGTGTTTTTGGCAATTGAAATTATTTTATTATAATATTTCATTATTATAATAAATATTATCTTATGCTATTTCTAAAAACAACATAAGTTACCTGTCTTCTGGGATTTGTTGGAGAGAGGGCTGTGGGAAAAAAGTCCCATAGATTATTGGAGGGATCCTAGAGCAGAGGAACAAGGAAATGAATGTCAGGACTTGAAGGAATAAAAGATTGACTTGGGTTGCGGCCAGGCGAGGATCTTTCTGCTTTAGCGTTCCTGAAAAACTGGAGCTTTGGGAGGTTGTTTTTTCAAGTGGAGACAATTAAATGACAACCTGCAGTGGTTAAGAGGTTTAGAAATGAAGAGGGACCCTGTCCCTCTGATGGTGGCACCTGGGTGAAAAAAGGCCGCCCAGCGGAGATGCCACCAGGGCTTCACCAGGCTCTCAGATGCAAGATGCCCATTGGGTATGCTTTGGGTTCAGTTGAGGATGGTCTCCCCTGCTTTGTAGGACAACTGCTGGAGGCACTGGTGTGCTCCTTTGAGGGCTGTGGTGCCGAAGAGGCAGGGAGCTGGACCACAAGACCTGTAGGAGCGTGCCTGTTCGCATCAGGAGCGCAGAGCTACCTGATTTTGCATCTTCACCACAAACCCCACCGCGGCTCTGTCTAACAGCAGTGTTCTCACCCATTGTTTTTTCCATCAGCCTTCACTTATTCTGCCGGCAGTAGATGAATGCACGCGGTCTTGTCTGGTACACTCCGCAGGGCTCTGCCCAGTAGCTCGTTAAATTGAGTTCAGCGGTCTGCTACTTCCCCCAACGTGCTGTGGATCTGAAAAATACCAGTGTGAGAGACCTTCTGCTGCCCCAGCGCTGGCTCAGCTGAGCCTCGATATGAGAGGTGAGGATCCGTGTCACTGAAGGGGCTGCTGGAAGGAGGAGGGTGGGTCGATCTTCCTTTGTCATCCTTTCCAAAGTGGAGGTTTGACCCCGGTTCCTGAGGATAACACAGTTGCTGTTGCTTCCCCTGTCCCTCTGATGGTGGCACCTAGCGGAGGTCCCACCAGGGCTTCAGCAGCCCCTCAGGTCTCAAGTGTTTCATCGCATCCTCTGGCCCACGTAGTGTACCATGTTCATGCTTGACCTTCAGGAGAAGAACGTGAATTGTCAGTTGCTACCTTCAGCTCGACTTTCCCCACTCTAATGCTCAGAATGCTCTAATGCTCTTTGTCCCTTCTCAAATCTGGCTGCACACATGGCTTGAAGGCATAGAATCACAGAATGGTTAGAGCTGGATGGGACCTTAGAGATCATTGAGTTCCAACCCCCCTTGCCCTGGGCAGGGACACCTCCCACCAGACCAGGTTGCTCCAAGCCCCATCCAGCCTGGCCTTGAACCCCTCCAGGGATGGGGCAGCGACAGCTTCCAGTGCCTCACCACCCTCACAGCAAAGAATTTCTTTCTGGTATCTCATCTCCATCTCCCCTCTTCCAATTTAAAACTGTTCCCCCTTGTCCTGTCACTGCACTCCCTGACAAAGAGTCCCTCCCCAGCTCTCCTGGAGCTCCCTTCAGATATTGGAAGGCTGCTGTAACATCTCTCTGGAGCCTTCTCATCTCCAGTGAGAGATGGTACCTCTCACTGAGGTAAACATCTGCCTTTGGTTTGGCAAGTGAGACATCTGTAGTGAAAAAGAAAAAATAAACACGGGAAGCTTTTATTTCAGAGGCAGACATGATTTGGGGTTTGAAAGTCTCCAGCGGGGTGAAGGTGGGGGACCAGCTCTGGCTCATATGCTTTCCCACAGATCATGGGAACAAGGGGCAGAGAGGAAAAGCAGGAGACGGCACATAGAAAATTAGGTAATCCTTTTTTTCTCCTTAGAAAGAACAGCCACTTCGTTGCTACAGGAGTTGAATGAAAGCACGTATTTTTCTAGCTCCTACGGTGTTTTTGGCATATTTAAGAGTCAAGGAGAGGCAGATGGGGAACCTTGGCTTTGGGAAGCTCTGGAAGAAACTTGACCTGAAGACAGATTGTCAGACAGCTGTCTCCTAGAGGTTGTTACTGCTGTTGGCTTTCTTCTTCTGCGAATCACTGGTGGTGGACACTGTTTGAACCTGGCTTGCCAAAACACACGCGTGCAAATACGGATGTGTGACAGCCCCACATCTCCTTGCCCTTGGCTCGTTCTTTGGATCTTCATTGCAGGCCTGTTCCCAAAGCACCGACTAATTATCCCTCCTTCCTCCCAGAGCATGGCCCGTGGCTGCCTTTGGACAAGGCTGCTTGAAACAGAGTGAATTGAAGTCAATCAGCACATGGCGGGGGGGAAGTCCCACTTCACTAAATGCAGGCGGCATGACTCCAGCAAGAGATATTCATCTCAGTTTCCTGGCTCTCTCTGGGGAAAGGATGAGTGATAGATGCTGGACAGAGCTTGTACCGTTTGATTTTTAAATTGCCATTGCATTTAAAAATGCACTTTCTTTCACCATCACGCTGCCAGCTTGTTAGTTCAAGGAGAGCAAGAGACAGAACCACGGGTTTTTAAGATGGGCACAAAGCTCGTTCTCGCGCAAAAGAGAATCGATCAGGGGTTCCTCTTGTGCCTTCCGGGTTTGGAGGCAGAAAATGCAGAGTAACCAGCTTTTTTTCACAGATTTTTCACAGACCAGTTGAGCAGAACAGAGGCCACTGCCGCAGAGCGAATCAATGCTCATCAGTAAGGATCTTCAACGTATGCAGATAGGATTTATGCTTACTGTAGTCTACGAACACTGTCTTGCTAGAGAGCAAATCTTCTCTTAACTGTGAAAACCTTCCACAGGAACCATGGTAAAGCTCTTCACATACCCCATTATTGTGTCCAGACTACCATGGGGTGAGGTAAGGAAGGATTTTTCAAACGCTAATGGCTGAAATATGTTCCTCCTCTCACCTGTCTGTGGCTGAAGATAAGGGACAGTGATATCTGTCAGGACAGGACAGGCATCGAGAAAGGTGGGAGCCAGAGAATCGGAGAGGGAAAGTAGAGACCCTAGCAGGCAGCAGAGAAACAGGACTTGGCAGAGTCTTGCTCTGACTCTAGGTTAACCCTTTCAGAAAATGAAGTTTAATCAGTTGGTTTGCATTGACTTTTTTTTTTTTTAATAACAGCTAAAAATCTCCTAAGAACATGGAAGGAAGGGGCATATATAGGTACGACCCTAGGTTTTTTAATAGTCATCCTGAGTGAATTGAAGCATTTTGGGAACTTGCATTATGCACACAAGATAACAATAGCCAGTGGTCAATCTTGCTCTGATTAATCAGATTAATAGAGATCTGAAGTACCACAGTAGCAGCTTTATTGCCCGAAAGTGTCTCAGTCTTTTCTGTCTGGCGTGTTCACCTACCACGTTGTAGCCATCAGTGGGGCTTCTGATATACAGACTCTTTCTGATCAGTAGCAAGAGGCCCTGCACAAAATCAGGGTGCATTTAGCAAGTACCAGGTTTGGGGCATCTCAGGAGATTAAATTTTCCGGGCAATATCTTTTGTTTGCTAATCAAACATGATTTTCTCTGAGCTCGTATTTTGAGGAAAAAGGGCAGGGCTGAAATTATATACTGGTCTCTTCTTTTTCAGAGCTGAAGCCTTCCTCTTCTTTCCCCACCTTCCATGACCACCTTGTGTTCTTTCTTTTACAGCTTATACTCCCAGCTCACCCTGTCTCCCTTTGCCCCTGGCTGGGCTGATCCAGGCTGCGTGTGAAGTTTCACTTTTCCCCTGAACTGACTCGAGAAAAATCAGTTTGCGTTCACCGGGGGGGTCAGATGCTGAAGGTAGGGGCCTCTTTGATCCAAATCCTACGCAGGGACTGGGCTGTAAATTCTTATCTGTGTCACTGTCCCCCCTCAAGGTGTGTGTGCCAGTGCTTCCCACAGCCAGGAGCACGGGGAAAAGTGAGTGATGCCCAACTCAACAGCCCAGCTTTTGCGCCTCGAGACCTTAAGCTGCTGGTTTCAGAAGCTGGAGGGAGGCGGGGGAGATGTAGACAGCCACACAAACAGGCAGAGAGACTCTGTGAAGACAAACTGCTTCACCCCCCCCCCCCCCCCCCTTTCCCA